ACGGACAGTGGATCTTGTCTACTCTCACAGAAGTCTCTAGAACTCTTTTGTCCATCTAATCTTAGCATAGATGAGGTAGTAAGACAGGAGATTTCTATCTTTACTGATAGCACAATTTGACTATTCTTTAGCTTCCCGTCTACTTGCACAATTCACTTGAGAAGCTGGTACGGAGCTATAAGATGGATTCGAATCCCGATGATGTCAAGTTGTTGGATTTCATTCAAAATAAGGTAAGGTGTCCGCCTTGTTCCAATGGATTTATGCATGTCAAAGGCTGCAAAACTCGAAGAATGGCGATGGAACTTCATATTGCATCTTTTGCATGCATTTGTGTCTACTTAAATCCACTATAGTAGGAGGAGACATACTTTCAAACCAATGTGCCCTCACACCTACTTTTAGACACATTTTTTTTTCTAAATTGGAATCTTTCATTATGGATACTTGCTCCTTTTGTATTAAAATGTTTGGAACTTTTTTAAAGTTTACCTGCTGTGGCGTTGTGGGAGTTGAGGACTATTGGGAATCGCGTGTTCCCTCCTCCTGTGGTGCAACCATTGCGGAGCGAACTCAGCGGCCGGTAAGCAAAGTCCCCACGCAGACACCTACTTTTCACTAACTTTAGTAGGCTCTGTAGCCACAAAACACGATTTCAACCCAAAATTGACCTCTCTAATAAAATAAGTGTCCTACGGGGTCTATTAATGTCGTTATTGCAGGTGAAATTGAGATAATGCACAAGTGTGTTGAGACTAGCTAGTGAAAATCGTTCCCATTTCACCAAAATGCATAATTTTTTGCAGGGATGCCAGTCTAAGATCCTTCTATCAGGGCAGGAGAACCTCTCAACAATGACAGGCATTGGTATCGGATTTGGTGTAATAATGGTGAGACGCATACTTATGGAAAGCTAACAGCGCTTTTGGCACAAAGTGCCTGTCTATAGATAGCATTTAAAAATAGTAGCATTTGCTGCGTGTAACTTATTACTTTTGGGATCAGCATTGCGACATAACCACACACAAGCATATTTTCCTCAATC